CTGTCTCAGTCATTCTAGCCATGGCCTCCTCACACACTTCCTTTCATGCTGGTGTCTCCTTACATGGTCCTTCTTCTCCCAGCTGGTAATGCCTGCCACAGTGCTTCTGTGTAGAGTATTGTAGATGGCCTCCTGGCACAGAGGCAGGGCGCCCTCCACCTACAAAGGGCCGAGAGAGGAAACGAAGTGACTTTCCAAAGTCAATTAGTTGTGACCTTGCCGCCAAGCAGTAGCAGAAATTAGTTCCCTTCACTTACCGCAGTCTCTGGGGGCTGATGCCCACAGGGTGACTGTGAATGGGGGTCCTGGTGGACCTCCCGCCAGAAGCATGAGAGACAGCATAGCCCGGTGGTGGAGAGCACAGGCTTTGTAGTCGGGTCGGCTTGGTGAGATTATTGGAGGCAAACCATTAACAACAGGTGACCTTGGTCAAGTTTCATTGCGTAAAACTGATTCTGCATTTGTAAAATAAGGCTAACGAACTTAGTTTCTACCTGATGTGAAGCATAGATAGTAGTGATACTGCTGGTAGTTATTTTAAGATTTTATGGTCAATTTGGGATTGCTAGGGGGGTTCCCCAAGGAACCCACATGGCTTAGGAACATCAAGATTTCGTTTCCACTCTCTCAGTGAGATCAGCACTCTCTGGAAACTGTGACCCCGGGACCTGGGGGGCAGCTGGGCATGTCAGCCACGTCCAGTTCTGGGGTAAGGTAGGCAGGGTAGGGAGTCTTTTTGTAGGGTCAGACCTTCTTCAGTGCTCCAGCAATAAGTCTCCTTGGGAAACAGGAGGCCCCTCAAAGCCAAGTCTGCTTATGCACAAACTTCTAAAACAGACTTGGTTGCAGTTTTATGGAGAGAGGAAGCCACTGGGCATAGCAGTGTGGGAGCCACACTGCTGTGTGGGAGCCACAGCTGGAGAACCCGAAGCCTCTGTTCCTCATGATGAGTTTTTTTTTTTTTCTTAGAAATTCTGCTTCTCCCCCCTTAAAATGAGTAAACCACTATCCACCTTTTGGTGAGATCCCAAGGAATCCTGTAAAAGGAGAGCGGTCCGGAGGGGATCACGAGGTCTCAGGAGACTTCACCATCGTATTTGGGGGCAGGATCTATTCACCTTTTGCAGGTCACATGTTCAGTAGAGCAAGTAGAGAGATAATTTGGTTGTGAAACACCCACGGTGGACTAAACCATTATCCTCACCCCACGAGGTCTGTGCTGGGGTCTCCATTCTACAGATGCAGGACCTGGGGCTCAGTAAGGGGACATAACAGGCCCTGCACCACTCGAGGTTTGATAGTGGCAGCAACAGACGCTCATTCCTAAAAAAAGAAACGAGGAAAATCTGAGCAGACCAGCCACTCAACGACAAGGGTTCGGCTCCCCTAGGGGTTGGAGGGAGCAGGAGCTAATGGACAAGCTCACTGTGGTCTGTAGGTGAGGTGAGTGAGGTCCAACTCTTCATCCCATATTCTCTTGCAAGGAGACGCTCGTGGTTTGGCCAGGCCACCCAACCATATCTGGGGCAGGGAGGGCATGACACTGAAGGACAGTGCCATCCGGACTGGGTGCAGTGGAAGAGGAATAGTCCTTAGAAAGAAATTGGGGTGCTATGTCTAAAAGCAAGGTTAAGGAACCCTTCTGGGAAGATAGTACAAGAGATGTCCGCTGGTCGCGGCAGGTGAGTGGCTGAACTGAGTTCAAACAAGTCAGTGACCCAAAGGCCTCAAGAACTGCCAATCATGTCTACACATTGGCCCCCCCACCTCCGGCAACCCTCACTTCTCTGTCCAGACTTTTGGCTTCCTCTTTAGTGGGCCCCGTGATGCTGGCACGGCTTGGGGAAGGTTCATGCCCTGCTAGAGAGGAAATCTCCAGAGAGGGCAATGGAAGAGGAAGCGAAAGAGATACAGGGACAATTTGAGAGTGAGAGAGTGCCATGGAGAAGTGGAGAGGGCTTGTGGCTTTCTCAACGTGGGAAAATCACGAATCATTAGGAAGTTTTACGGGGGAAGGGGAACAGACAGGGACCAACTGTGAGGAAGAATTAGTGAGGCTGGAACTGTTGGAATCATCTTAAATTAAAAAAAAAACCAAGATATATTTTATCTGCCACTCAAAATTTGAGGTGTCTTGCATTATAGAACATTGACTCAATGGAAATTGTGTATTTAAAGAAATATGAAGGGCATAGCGTATAATTAAAAACTTGTCGTTGGGAAGTTTGACATTTACTTCAGAGCTTCCTGGCAGCTAAGGCAAAAAGGGAAACATGATAGGTTATATAATTTTCATTGTCTCATAAAAGGAAGTGAATCTGCAAGTCAGAAAACACAACATTTCTCCTAAATTATAAAAAGAAATTAACCAAGAGGGACACTAAATATCCAGTGAAAAATTTTCTACTGAGAAAGAATTTCTACTGAGCATGAGAAACATTCTTTCTTTCTTTTTTTTTTTTTTTAAGATTTACTTATTTATGCACACAAGATCTAGTGTATAGGCCAGAGCTGTAGGGGGTGAGAGGATCCACCAGAGACAGAGTGGGGAACAGAACATGCAGACTGACCGAAGTACACTGCTGAGGGGAGCAGCAGGTGAGTCAGGAGAGGTCTGCTGTGCCATGTGGGTAGCTCCCTGGCCAGGGATTGAACTTGTGCTGCAGTGGCTGTGGACAGCTTCATAGGTTGCATCTTAACCCCTTGCACCACCCTGGAGGCCCAAGAAACATTATTTCTAAGGCCATTATCAAGTGAATTGTTGTGGAAAGTAATGGCTATTGCTGTCAAGTGCCCTCTCCGGGCTGGAAAGGGTCCCAGAGACTCTCACGTTCAGAGGCCTCTCCCGGCTGCCACAGGAGCTTCACTTCACAACACCCCATGTGCACCGAGGGGCTTGTTGGCGCCAGCCTCTCCCCACTCCCCTTTGCTCTCCTCTGCCTGGGAGAGGCCTGGCTCGTGTAGGCTGCATCTCTCAGAAGCCTTTATCAACTGGTTTCCCACTGGCCAAGGAGGGAGAGGGATGATACAAGGTAACATGAGGAAGCACCACGGAGTGTCTCCCCCCAGCCCATTCCGCCATGGGCAGTGGCTTCTTCTCCCCTCCACAGCTCCAGCTCCTCTGAACAGACAGGCCCTGCGGACACAGCTTTGCCCAGGAGCCCTGGCTCACTCTGGAAACAATTCCCCCTTGTCCGTCCCACCGGTGAGGGCTCAGGTGGCTTGCTGTGCTGGCCACTAGGTTAACTCAGTGCCCCCTGTTTGATTCTTGCTTTCCGATTGCCGGCAATTCCTGTGTTTAAGCCCCTGTGTTTCTAGTCCTTCCATGGTTTCCCTTTCCTGTGTAGGTTCTGCCTTGTTCATTCTCTGACTCCAGACTCAACCCAGTCATCCCAGGAAGTGGCTCTCCTTACCAAATCCAACTGGGCAGCCTATTTCACGTGGAGGCCCCTGAAGCGGACATGGCACAGGAGCTTGACAGGTGGCTAGGACCTGGATTAAAGAAGGGCGAAAGGAGAACTTTCTGGTAGGGGAAGACACGTAAAGGGGTTGCTGGTTGGAGTGAGCACAGAGTAGTCAGAGGCCAAGCGCATGGCGTAGTTGGGACAGAGGGTGTGTTTATGCAACATCATGCTTTCAGTAGTAGCATGGGCTGGGACGGTGTGACAACAGTCAGTGTCTCTGGAGATGGGAGATTACAGGGGAACCTAGAAAAGTTGGGGAAAGGGGCAGACCTCAGTGTGGGAAGGTATGGATCAGGCCTTGGGCTTAGTATAAAGCTTCGATGTCGCCATCTTGAAATTCTTGATTTTTGTTTCATTTACTGTTTTTTTTTTTATCATGGTAAATATAGAAACAACAAAATTTGTAATTTTAACTTCTTAAAATGCACACTCATGGCATGAATGACTTCCCATTGTTGTGTATTCACTCCATTGTCTGCTTCCCAAGTTTTTGAAAAGAAAAAGCTCATTGTTTTTTGAACGAAGGGCCCATTTTTATTTTGCATTTGCCTTGCAAATGATGCAGCCGGTTCTGCATGGAACTTACATAGCTGAGGGGAAGGGGACCAGCATTATTTTTTTTAAGATGTATTCATTTACGCATACAAGAACTGGGGTTCAGGCCAGAGGTGCGGGGGGTGAGAGGATTCACCAGAGACAGAGTGGGGAGCAGAACAGGCAGGCTGACTGAAATACACTGCTGAGGGGAGCAGTGGGCGAGACAGGAGAGGTCTGCTGTGCCATGTGGGTCACCTCCCTGGCCGGGGATCGAACTCGTGCTACAGTGGCTGCGGTTAGCTTCATAGGTTGCGTCTTAACCCTTGCGCCACCAGGGAGGCCCCGGACCCACATTATTAAAGAACACAAAGGGATAGAAACAAAATTAAGCTCCCAGCCTTGGAAGGTATCCTGAAGGAACTTAAGTTTCATTAACTTCCAAGAAAACCTGCCTCTACTTGGAGGAGGGGACATGCCTGCCCTCCAGCGTGGTCTTCAAACTGGGGTCGGGGAAGTCCTGGGGGTGGCTGGATGGAGCTTCAGGAGGAGCACACTCATCCCACCTTTGCTTTGGTGAGAAGATCTCCACTTTGTTCTGAATTAGGAATTGAGCTTCAGGCTGTGTTTTTTTTTTTTTAAAGGGTCCCATGACTCATAGTTTGAAAACCACTTGTCAGACAAACCACATCACCAGCCTTTTTGTTGTAGGGAATTGTCTTATTTCAGAGGGCCCCAGGTGACCTGCTGACCGGGGTGTCTCCAGAGCCAGGTAATAATAGGCCGTGCTCTAATCTAAGGAGACTCTGCTGTATTTGCAGAGAGCTTTGAAATGTTCTGGGAAAAAGGCTGATCAGATGTGCAAGGTATTATATTCACGGAGGGAAAAACCCTCCCAACTCTTTATAAAATGGATTAAGCCGGTTTCTAAGGGCTGCAGGTTTGTGTGATCTTAATCCTGTTCCTTACTGTTGATCCTCCACCTTCCTCCTTTGTTTCCAGGATCTGCACCTTCCGGGGTGAGGGCTGGGATGCCTTCCAGGTCAGCCCTCCCTGCTGCCCAGCTCTCCTCAGAGGAAGAACCAGGAGATGCCTTCGCCCTGGCACCCACCCCGCCAGAGGGCCCTTTTGCTGAGGGCAGATTTCACACTCACTGGCTCCAAACTGATGGTGGGAAATAGGAACAAAATATGGTAATGATGCCATTGTGCATTCAGTCACTCAGGCTGCCACGGCCGATGGGGGAGGATGTGGATCACAACCCCATGTGATATCTCACAGAATATCAGTCGAATATGGCTTGCCCAGTATTATGTTTCTGTCATCCCCTCTTAGCTCAAGTTAAAGTGACAAGAGAGACATCTGCTCTTTCCAAAGGGGCACTACCTACTTCAGGGCTGTCCTTGCCTGCGGATACCCGGATAGAACCCTCTACAGGCAAAGGTGGGGTTTCTAAGGTGGAACAAGTTCTAGACCAAGAGGTTTGAGTCACCATTCAAGGCCTGGGCCTTGCGCACCAGCTTCGGAAAGGGGCATCTTCACCAATGGGTGTCAGAACTCATAACTCTTCTCGGGGCTGGGGCACTGAGGGCCACGGTGTGGAATGAGAGCCCATGTGTGAAGACGATGTAGAAACTTCTCCAGCAGGTGGAGGGGCCCTGAGCCAGCACTGCCACCACTTGGAGACTTTAGTTCCACCACCTAGAGATGTGCTGTTTTCTATTTGTTCTTTTTAAGGTCCTCTAGCTGCATCCAAATGCTCAGAAAAAACTACAGCCTTTGTGACTGATCAATCCTACTACTAAGAAACTTACAATGTCACTTCATGCCACAGTCCTGTGGGTGTTATCTCTAAATTCATGGTGAGTTCAGGAGCTCCCTGCCACCCACCATGAAGTCAACATGTCTGTCTGTTGGAAATTGAGTGTGCAAAGCTGGCTTTGCTCCTCTAGCTCTAAGCCACAGAGACCCACACACAAACCATGGCTGCCAAGCATTGAAGATGAGCCTCTACCCTTTGATGTGATTAGTGAATGCCCATTCAACCTTCAAAATCCATTTTCTTGATCACCTCCTCCAGAGAGTCTTCCTGGACACCTCCAGAAAGTGTTATTCTCTTCCTTCCCAGAGCAGTCTCTGGGCTCTGTATATATTGTTTCTGTATGCATCATGTGGCATTATAGTCATTATTATTGTTTTTTTGCTTCTCTAGTTTGCCTTCCTGTCTGTGACCACCTTAAAACATAGTTACAGAACTGAATCATTGAATTGTTTATTGAATAAGGCAATAGCCAGGTGGAACTTATCCACAATAAGTGTATGATTTCTTGTAACTGCAGTGATCTAGTTCTTCGCCTTATGATACTGAATATGATACTGAATAAACTCTTTTGATTCTCAATTATTTCTCATGACATTCCCCATTTGGCAGAAGTCTCCCTTGAAGCTCTGTCTCCAGGGTCTGATCCGGGTTATTTGTCCAAACTCCCTCTTCTTGTATATTGGCTTCTGCAGGGTCTGGGTGTCTTTTCCTGCATTTCTTGCACATTAATTTACCTAGGACATATTAGATCCAAGAAATATTTGTCTTCAAAAGGGAAGAGGTTGAGGTCTAGGTTTTTTTGTTTTTCTTCTCAAGGGGTTCTTTGGTTCCTGTGCAAATTTTACCCCCAAGAGCCAGCCCTGCATATTAAGAGGTCTGGTGTGGTAAGAAGCTGCCTTTGAGGGCCATACAATGCCAGTTCCTCTTCCCTGCAGGGCATGGCTCCTATTTGACTTAAATACGCCACCTGCACTAGATTCACTTCTGAATAAGTTCAGCCCCAATGGGCTTGTTGTGCTCCTTTGTAGCTATACCAGTGACTTCCTCTATATTGTTCCTCCAAGACAAATGGGTTTGATGTCTGCCCTCAAAGAGCCATTTCTTTCTTTCTTTTTTTTTTTTAGAGGCATGTTTTTATTTATTTATTTATTTATTTGTTTGTTTGTTTGTTTTGTTTATACAAGCACTGGGTACAGTCAGAAGCGCGGGAGGGTGAGAGAATTCACCAGAGCCAGAGCGGGGAGCAGAGCAGGCAGAAGGACCGAAGTACACTGCTGAGGGGAGCAGCGGGCGGCAGGAGAGGTCTGCGCGCCATGTGGGATCCTCCTCTGGTGGCCGGGGAGCAGCTGGGGATCGAACCGGCGCCGCAGAGGCCGCGGGCAGCTTCGCAACCCAGCGCTCAACCGCTGCGCCACCGGGGAGGCCCCGCCATTTCTTTCATGAAGGAGAAATCTGATAAAATGGAGAAATGGAAGCATTGGTTCTTTCTGCATGCCCCTGCCTCATCAACACTTGGCAATGCTGAGGTCCTTGGAGCATAAGGGATATGAAAAGAAACCCTGGCCCATACATTTTGGGGATGGGCATTAAGGCATCTCCTGTAACAGCATGAACTGGGAGGGGTTCTGTGTCTGGGATTGCCCTAGTCATCCCTGCCCAACCTTAATGGTTCTAACTCCAAAGTCTCCTCACCAATGGAGAAGACTGAAGGTTAATGGCACCCCTTGTCTGGGGCTCACAAATGGCTAATTAATTAATTATACCTAGCCACACAAAAACGGGTTGGGTAGGTGCTTGCAATACCATTGCCTGTAAAAGAGCTGTGAGCAGCTGACAGGTGAGGGCCAAGACACTAGGACTAGCCTTCTGAAAGAGGAAGATATGCCCTCTATTTTTATGTGGGGACTGAATTTGGAAATATTTTAATGATTTATTGCTGTGCAAAAAAACTACCTGAAACTTAGTTGTTTGTAGCAACATATTTATTTTAACTTATGATTCAGCATATTTGAATTTGGCCCAGCTGGGTGATTCTTCTGCTCTATGTGGTGTCTGCTGGGACATACAAGACACCATATTTACGCATGCCTTCCAGTGCTGAGCTGGAAAACCAACTTCTCCAGCAACTAGGCTGAGTGTCCAGAAAGTGTTATTCTCTTCCTTCCCAGAGCAGTCTCTGGGCTCTGTATATATTTCTGTTTCTGTATGCATCATGTGGCATCATAGTCATTATTATTGTTATTTTTCTTCTCTAGTTTGCCTTCCTGTCTGTGACCACCTTAAAACATAGTTACAGAACTGAATCATTGAATTGTTTATTGAATAAGGCAATAGCCAGGTGGAACTTATCCACAATAAGTGTATGATTTCTTGTAACTGCAGTGATCTAGTTCTTCGCCTTATGATACTGAATATGATACTGAATAAACTCTTTTGATTTTCAATTATTTCTCATGACATTCCCCATTTGGCGGAAGTCTCCCTTGAAGCTCTGTCCTTTTGAGAATATATTCTCAAAAATGGCAGTGATAGAATGAATAAATGAGTGCAGCGAACAGTTTGTCAGAGAGAGCAGCTAAATTCCATGTGGAAGTGTGGGTCCTTGGCCTGGTGAGTGGTGGGTGTTGTGTGGGTGAGGAAGATTTCCATGAGAAGCCTGTAACTTAACAGACCCTGCACTCCCCTGTGTGCTGGGATGAGAGGAGGCATCCCAGAGAAATCACTGTGACAGGGAGAACTTGGCCAATCACTGTTTCTCTCTGCGGCTCAGGCTGTCTTATAAAAGAATAAGACTATACTGCATGGTTTTGCTACTTTTTGATAAACACAAAACTCTCTCCTGAAGGTTTGTATTATGCAAAGCCAGGAGTTATTAATTTTTTCATATATAAAATGATAAAGCATAGGCTTGTGCAAAGCATACTTCCCAATAAGAGAGGCCATGTGGTGAGACTCCCTGAACCAAAGAATATCTAACATCTCTTACAAATTAAACTTTCTAGAACTCTGCTCTTCAATACTGATGTCACTAGCCAAAGTGACTATCTAAATTTAAATTAAAAATTTGGTTCTTCAGTTGTACCAACCACATTTCAAGGCTCAGGTGTACACAGTATCACACAGCGTAACTTAGTTCTCTAGGATGTCATCATGGGTCAGTTCTAGGGTCAGTAATGATGGCTTGTGCCCAGTCTTCTGTCCCTCCTGCTTGTGCATATGTGGATCACTTCCCCACTCCCTTGGTCAATGAGGCCTCCATTTCTGTAGGATGTGGCTCGCTGTGGCCCTTCAAGAGGAGCTCCAACCGAGCAGGAAAGCTCTGATGATAGGATTGAGGTTTCGATACGCTTCAAAAAGAATGGAATACATGATGAGAGGTGACTGGCTTATTTTGAGAAGCAAACTCTCCTGCGCATGAATCAAGTTCCCATCATGCCAGGTTCTGCTTTGAGTCCTTTTCTAGAAGGAACACCAGAGTGCCCACTTCTGGTCTGGGGAACAGTTCCACTCCAGGGGAATCTAGCTAGTCCAGAGGGGAATGGCCTTGCATTCCTACTTTCTTGTGCCGAGGCATCTTCTCTCCCCAGCCCCAAGGTCATCAGGTTCCTGGATGTTGAGTCTGTCTGCAAGAGGCCCTCAGCAAGGTGAGCCCTCTCTCCTGCATGTGGGTCTCTGTGCCTTCTGGGGAGAGGAGCACTTTTTGTGATATTATTGAGAGCCTAGAGGTGAGGCAGGTGCTTTTGCTTGACCACAGGTCTGTGCTCTCCAGCTTTCTTTGCCAATCTGAGCCAGCCAATGGGAGAAGGCCCCACCTCTTAGGTTCCAGCCAACCAGCTGGTGAGCATGCTGAAAGGGACCAGGACATAAGGGCCCTGGTCAGTAATCACAGACTGTGCAGGCAGGGGCCATCAAGACGGAGTGGGCTGAATCCAGTCACTCCCTCATGGCCCACAAAGACCCCCCACAGATCTGAGACAAAATGGTGGGCTCTCCCCACAATTCCTCAAACCCGTCACCCTGAATCTGCCCCTGCCCCTCCAGATAGGAATAACAAAAATGAACTTGACATTTTCCTGAACGGTCATATTTTATGGCTGACTCAGGGTCTTCTAGAACTAGTGTTAATGGGAACGAAGTGAAACTGCAACAGGAAGGGAAACCGAAAGTCTTCCTCCCTCCTCGATGGAACGCCAAAGCACATTTTGAGCAGAAAAACCTATTTGAGTGATTCTCATATTTTAAAAAAGAAACATGACAAAAACTTTAGTCAACGTGCTGTCATTACAAACAACAAGGACCCCTCAAAACAATGTGTTTTCATTTCTCAACATTTCGCACCTCACATATGGAGAGGGGACAGAGAGAGCAACTATGGACCTCACAACGTCAAGGTCGAATTTGTCTATAGTTCAACGGGCTGTCAAAGTAGAAAACAAAGTAACAACAGAGTTTTGGAAAATGAGGAAATTACATATTAATTTGCCTTGTCCCCTTATTAAAGTGATGACCTCACATTATCTCATAACAACAAGAACTGACCTTCAGATTTGATTCTCAGCTTCAACCCAGTTTGAAAATTAAGTGAAGATTTTGCAATATTAATTAGAAAAAAATAAACAAAATGGGAACATATACAGATCTTTGCACTCTTTATTTTTTTAATTTTTTAAAGATTTATTTATTTTTTAATAGAATATCACTTTTTTTTTTTTTTTAATAGAGGCATGTTTGTTTGTTTATTTATTTATTTGTTTGTTTGTTTTTGTTTATACATGCACTGGGTACAGTCAGAAGCGCGGGAGGGTGAGAGAATTCACCAGAGCCAGAGTGGGGAGCAGAGCAGGCAGAAGGACCGAAGTACACTGCTGAGGGGAGCAGTGGGCGACAGGAGAGGTCTGCGCGCCATGTGGGACCCTCCTCCGGTGGCCGGGGAGCAGCCGGGGATCGAACCGGCGCCTCAGAGGCTGCGGGCAGCTTCGCAACCCAGCGCTCAACCGCTGCGCCACCGGGGAGGCCCGAATATCACTTTTTTAAAGATTTATTTATTTACACAAGAACTGGGGTACAGGCCAGATGTGCGAGAGGGTGAGAGGATTCACTAGAGATAGAGCGGGGAACAGAATAGGCAGACTGACGAAATACACTGCTGAGGGGAGCAGCGGGAGAGACAGGAGAGGTCTGCTGTGCCATGTGGCTTGCTCCCTGGCTGACCAGAGTTCCTCTTGCAGTGGCTGGCGATATCTTGATAATGCTGTGTCTTTAACCCCTGTGCCACCAAAGAGTCCCTCTTTGCACTCTTTAGAAGAGGGGCTGGAGCAAGAAGTGGGGAAAGGAGATGGAAAGAGAAGGGACATTTGTTTGCAGAAGTCCTTCCTGAGCTCAAGGTTCTTGGGGGTAACTCTACACAGGATGATTACAGCTTATCATGTGACTCGGGAAGAGCGAGCAAATGCAAATGGCAGCCCCTTTAGAAGATCTTCCAGTCACTGGTTTAGCGTGCTATGAAAAGTCTGTTGCATATGATTCCCCATTCATTCACCACCCATGACAGGCATCGCTAATCAATTATAGCATCTTCTCTTGCTGACCCTAAAGACAACCTCAACCTTATTCTCCACACAGCACTCTGCCCAGCTGTGACCAGTTAATCAAGGGCTGGCCTTCATGAAATCTCTTGGCTCTTCCCCGCTTGGGGCTGTGAAACCAAACTCATTATTTCGTGTTTCTTGGCATCATGGCCACACACTCTGGTAGCCTGCTCCTCAGAGGAGAAGCTGGAACTGCATTTCTCTGAAACAACTCTCTCTGGAGTCTGCCAGATAGAGGCATGCTGCAAGACTGGGAGTTGGAGAAGGAGAGCTGCTATCTCTCTCTGCCAGTGGCTGCAGTTAAACTACATGGGCCAAACCAAACTCTAGAGAATTGCATGCTCTGTTCCTTCTGGTTGCTGGGATTGGCAGGGGCAGCTTTCCGGTGAGCTCCTGTCAATCATCTGCCTCTGGCAGCTGCTGGTTGACCTTTGCCCCCTGGCCTGTTCCTGTAATCTTGCAGGTCCCCAATTCCCTGTATTAGAACCCTTCCTGCTTGCAATGCCTGGAGTGGCTTGTTTTCCTGACGATTACAGTAATATAACACTGGGAAGACAGGGAACAGAAGTTGGTAGCAAATTGGTCATCCCCCACCTTGCTAAACACAAAAGGTGGACACAGTTGTTGAGTTTAACCTTCCTGTTTTTTTCTTCTATTATTTCTGTGATCCGTCTACACAGAGTGCAGAAAAGGCAGCAACAGCAAGGAGCATTCCAAAGAGTCAGAATAATGGCATCATAGAATTTGAAGCTGGAAGGACTTTTGTACAGAAACATTTGGGTTCTTTTCATTTTGCAAGTGGGAAAAACAGGTCCAGAGAGGACCATCACAGCCAGTTGGACTTTGAGCAGGGGCGTGGAGCCAGGCTTACTGACCAGTCCAGCGCTTTCCCTTGGCCCGCAGGGACTCAAACAAGGGGATTCCTATGAGCTCGCAAGGAAAGTACAGCCAAACTGAAATGGATCCCACAATACACTGTCTGCTTTGATGTGAGGTAGTAAACACCTGGCGGTGAAGGGAAGCCAAGGGCCGTGGAATGAAGGGGTGTGAGTCCTCTGCTCTCCCCGGGGAGAGGAAAGCAACATGAAGCAGGTCTCAGGATCCCACCAGAATGTGAAAACCCTATCGTCCTTATCCTAACCCTCCCATGGAAACCCCAACACGATTCTGTCTCTTCACAGGCAACACATCTTAAAGAAATCCTTATATCTGTATCCAGTTTTGGAAAGCATGTTCTGGGACCAAGGTGAACCACTGTTTTCTTGTAATCATTCTCTGGCTCCCATGGGCCTTGGAGTTGAAGGCAGCCCCAGATCAGGTTCCTGGCACAAGCCACTGATGGAGTAGAGGAGGAGATTTGGGGGAAGCTTTAGTGGACAGAATATCAGGATGGCAGGAGACAGACGATTGGAAACTATGCCATGGACAGTGGATGCCCCTGGGGATACTGTCAAATCCTGAGTGTGAGCACCCACCATGATCAAGACCCTTGGGTGCTGCACCCTTTTCTGGGGCTGCTGCCTCAGCATCCTCAGAACCAATTCTTTATTGCCTTTCTATTTTGAGATGACAGCTGAGAGTCATCATCATCCTGGACCATTGGGAGGGACAGATGCCCACTGTCCCCTGACCACAGGCTCGAGGGCTCCATCAGTGGGCTCTGATGCCACCACGCCACCAATACCCATGGCAGGCATCAGTGGGTTCCCCTGTGGTGGTCTCAGAGCCCCTCTTCTTTCAACATAGCATCAATTTCTTTTACCCAAATGGCTGAAAGTCCACCTTGACGGGGTTTATCTGGATATGGGGCTTTGCCTCCTACTGAGTGGGTAGAGAGGGAGGACAGACCTCATGAAGTACCTGCTAAGCACTCGGGAGAAACTAGGAGCTTTTCATATATTGAAACAGTAAGCCAACCAAATGAGAAAAGCAGAGGCCTCAACCCGCGAGGTTCTTGATCGCTGACTCCTGCAGCAAATTTTTCGGGGGCTCTTTATTCATCTGCAGATAGCAGTGGTGAATAGCTGAGCCAGCAGTGTGTTTTCTTCTCTAACTCAGGGGAGAAAGCCAGGACTCTGGGGTCCTTCTATCAGCCCCAAACCATCATCTCCTCCACTGCTTTGAGGATCCACCTCTTCAGTGTCAAGGACATTTTATTTTGTCACTGAAATTTGATCCCATTTTAGATCAGCCATGGGAAAGACAGACTCAGGCCTCGATTGCGTCCTCTCGTCAGCCAGTCACTGTGGGCTGAGGTCACTCAACTGTGGTTTGACATGAAACTGCAAGAAAAGCTGCAGGGGATGTGCCGGGGGGTGGCGGGGGTGTGGGGGAAAGGAAAGCTGCAGTTGTGTCCTGGAACATGGGGGAGGAAGCCGCAGGGCACGGGACCGGAAGTCACGAATCCGCCCTTCTATTCCTGGCCCTGCGTCCAGCTTGCTGTGTGCCCTTGGGCAGGTCACTTCCCTTCTTTGAGCCTCAGTTTCCTCATTTTCTAAAACCAAGTGGAGGCTCTCCAAGGCTCCTCCTTTCTGCCAAAAAAAGCCCCTGCTTTTAGCTTGGCCCCAGCTATGGGTGAAGAAATCAGAGACTTGGCTTCATTTCATAACCTGGGCCCCTCAGCACTTCCCAGTTGGGGCTGGGAACGGCACCAGGCAGTCACTGACCAAGCTAATCTGAGTTTCGGGGAGGTGGCCAGCAGCCCAGCAGTCGGAAACCTCACCCAAGAAGAGGACAGGGGTGGAAGCTGGCTGGATGACAGCTCAGTTCCGTCACCCAAGGGCTGTGACCGGCACCCAGGCATTGATGTTGATTCAGAGTAGAGCCTCAGCTTTGGAGACTCAAGTGTCATTAGTTTCCGTTTTTGATCAATGCAAAACAGTGAAAGCAACAAATAATAACGTCCATTTGTTGGCAATTTGGGTCGTTTGTGGCATTGAATTAGCATAATGGATCACAACTGCAAGTTTTTCTCCACCTGAATATAAAAACATTATATTCCCCACCCCAACATAGCCGAGAAATTTCCTTTTTTTTAAATGAGGTTTTAACTAAAGCCCAATATCAAAACACCATATAATACTTTTATCTCATTGAAGACATTTGATGCTTATTAAAATATTATTGCTTTAAGGCTTATTTTGATTTTTTGCCCAAGAGTGTATGCAGAACCTTGCTACTCAGATAATAACAAAGAAACCTTAAACATGAAAAAGCACATGAAAGGTAATAGGTTCCCCATTAGTCCCAGTATCATTTCCCCAGGATTACTGCTTTCCAAATATAGCATTAGTTTAAAAATAAAAGGCCGTTTACAGTAATGGGCCACTTGCTACCGCTCTGCAGCAGCCCGGCCCTCCGAGGGGGCTCGCACAACAGTTTCATTAAGGGGGACTGCAGGGGAGAGGGGTGGTCTAAAACCCCAGTCTGCCTCCTCAAAGACCCCCCAGAAAGGCCACCTACCCTGCCCCAAAACCCGTGTCTAACCAGCCTCTTCATTCCTCTTTCAGAACTGCTTTTTTTATGTATTGTTTCTTCTGGAGATGAAAACATTCTGGAAGCTGACAAGTGATCCGTGGGGCATCACCCGGGAAGAGAAGTCACATCCTGCAACTCCGCCTTGGTCTCATGAGTGGGAAAGAGTGTGCCTGCCAGCCACAGAAAGGGGTCCTTTTGGGTTGGGGGGGGTCTCTTTGTCCTGGGAAATCCATGGGTAGCAACTCCAGATGGGAGGATTTAAGTCACCAGGAAGAGCAGGGACTGTGGGTAGAGGCTTGGTTTATTTAAGCCAGACATGCAATTTTTGAGCTCAGGACTGCAGAGTCCATTTTCAATGGGAGGAACTCACCTAGAGAAGGTATGAGCATTCATGTACGTGGAAGGGCTCTCCAGTGGCAGCGAGGGCCATTCCAGTTGCTTCCACAGTTGGCCTGAGTAGCGCCCACTGGAGGCTGCCAGCAGCTGAGGGTCCCTGAAGAGACTCATGTTGCGCATTAGCTATTTTGGTGCAACAATGCAGGCCTCTTCCGGTTTAAGGAGCCGGTCTCCTGGCACTCATCAGGCGCCCAGCTTTGAGAGGCTTCCCAGAGCCAGCCCTCCAGCTTCCAGCTTGAAGGGCGGGAGATGCTCTCCTGGTTTTAAATCCCCCTCTAAATGCCTGCCATATCTAGTTGTCAGCAGCGAGGGGAAGATCAAGAGAGTGATGGAGGAGAATGGAGGGGTAGTAACAAGAGCTAAAATTTATTGCCCTGAAGCTTGCAGTGTACCCCGAGGCAGGTGGCACTGTCCAGGGGACTGGGGACTCTGCATCATCTGAGCTGCAGGGCCTTTTCTTGCATGGAGCCAGTTACAAGTTGGTTGAGGCTTGGGGCTGGTGATCGTGTCCAGTGTGAACTGTCAGAATTGGGACCTCATTGTCTGGCCACCTCTAGTTTCTGTTCTTGATGCTCCTCCAGGCCAAGAATTGCTCATTCTCTGCGTACTCCTAGCCCAGTGGCTGGCACAGAGTCAATGCCCTTGAACCGGGAGAGCAGGATGCTTCGGGTAGCGGGCTAATGGGGAGACCAGAGGCCAGGAACGTCCTCAGTTGGTGGCCCCTGTCAGAATGGCTTCGGTTTATTGAGCACTTACTTTTGTCCAGGTTCAGAGGAAAATGCCTCGCACGTTCCCTCATTCAGTCCTCTTGCCACCTCCTTGACCCAAGTTCGGCCGCCTAGCTGGCCGGGAAGGGAAGCAGGGTGAAGCGAGCTTCTTGCTAAGCTCCTGCAGCAGCCGGCTCCTACATCTGAACTGTGGCCACCACACCCAGCGGGCTCCCTGACCTCTCACTGGCCCCAGCAGTGGCTAAAGGCCCCTCGGGAGTGGGGGGTAAAAGTTGCATTTGGTCCCTTTGGAACAATGCTGGTTCGGTGTCACTGTCTAGGGACTCTGCTTCCTTAGAAGACGATCAACCTCACAGGAATCGAACTTGCAATCAGCGGGGACTGAGCACGCTGCTTCCAGTACTTGGATGCCCCAAGGAGAAATACAGGGCAGCCCCAGGCAGGATCCCTGCCCTCCAGGAGCTCCCAAGGTAGAGGAAGAAGGTGATGACAGAGAGTTCTATCCAACCACTCAAGGAGTGGGATAGCTGCAAGTGAATTGACATCACAAAATGGGAGAGTTGAGTTTCACCTTAGAGATCCTGGAGTCTTAATCGTTACTCCCAAGAAGGGCAAAGTCACTTGTCCAAAGTCATCCAAAGTGCTTAGGGCCGGAACCTCAAGGGCTTCACACTCCTTATCTCAATTATCCTGTTCGGGTGTAGTTGTGGTGAGGTGGGAGGAGAAGGGTGGCTGAGATTGAATGGGACCTTGGAGAGGGGAGAAGCAGGTTCCTAGGGGAGGGAGTGTGAGGACCCCCCAGGTAGGCCAAGAGACATGCACATGATGTGGGGTGTGGGAACATGGGGGTGCCCGAAAAAAAGATTGCATTTTCTAAATCAACTCCTGCGGAGTAATACAGCCTGCAGGGAATACTAGAGCATTCTAAGGCCAAAGGAGGATGAGGATCAACTTGCAGTGTGGGCCAGTAGCATGGCGGAGTAGGGGACCTTCTGCTGCAGGCTTGTCTCGGCAAGAGGGGTGCTTAAAGGAATGTACCACATGCTCGCTCTTTTGATCTCCTGACAGGTCTGATGGGGGGGGGGTGATGGTGGAGGGAAGGACTCATTGCTATCTATTAATTTCTCTTTCATGGACAATTTCCTGCTCACTCCAACTCACCTGCTGCTGATGTCAGCAGATCTCTAGCATCTGCTCCAGGGGACCCGTCATCTGCCAAAGCTCTGCTGAATGGGGGAGCGGGTCACAGCTGGGCCAGGGGGAGGGGGTGGGGGGCTTAGCCACCGAGCTCCATGGGCCTGCAAAGAGTGTCGATCTCCCACATTTCAAATGGGCTCCGCTGGCCACTGCCAAGAGATGCCACGTTTCTGCTGAGTTGGAGTCATTTCAGACCGATTCACCTGGAAAGAGCAAGCGTCTCCTGAAAAATCACCAGACTGCACATGGGGGCAGCCCAGGTAAGGCCAGAGGAAAATCTGAACGTCAGGGGTCATGACTTCTGGTCTAAGTGTTGGCATTGAAATATGCAAAGCTGCCCTGGATCCATCTCGACCAGTGCTGTCCTTCACTCTTCCAAGGAAGAGAAATAGTTGGACGTGAATGTGAATGAGCCTTGAGCAGCTCGGTGGGCCCAGAGATCCAGGGGTCTTAAGGCTACAGTGAATGAAGCACAGGTGAGGGCCTCAGTGCCCAGAGGGTGGATGGGGGCCCAGTGGGGCTCCATTCCCCCCACCTTCATTCTGTAAGGGCCTCCCTCCCCTCCAGCCAAAGCCAGAGCAGAACGTGACTTCCTGGGTTCCTGGGCCTTCTCACGCTTTACATACGTGTTGTATTTCCTTACCTTGTGAGTGCAACCTGACCTGCCAGCATGGAAGGCTTTGGGGGTTTTGAAGTTGGCCAACATCAAATACGCCCCCTCCTTCTGCTGGAGAAAGCCCCAGTCACTCCAAGGCAGACTTGCGGGGCGTTTGATTGTCTAGAATACATCAAACAACCCAAGTCTTCCTTGTAAAACTTACAAGAAATCATTGAAGACCAGTGGAGCTCCCCTCCTCCTCTTCCTCCTCCTCCTCCTTAAATTCCAGACCCGGGCGGACAGTCCGACTCTCACTTTCCTGCTGGCTGACCAGCAAGAGCGCCGGCTGGCCGCGCACAGCTGTGGAGCCGCAGCCCTGCATCATTATACTTGCCGACCACGGCTTGTGGGATCTAGTGATTTGGACATATTTTATTTAACCAGCTTAGTAAAAGGTAATATTCAGCAGCTGTGATCTATAGCAGAATTACAATTTTCAGGGTCAAGGAGGGATTTTGATATTAGGAGGTTGGGCAGAATTGCTATGAAATCTCATGAGCTGTCTTTAAAAATAAATGAGAAAATAGGTTATCCAAGAGTCATTGTAAGGGAAAAATCAATAGGCAGTGTCTATTCACTTGGGCTATCAAAATCCTTGAAATTTGAACAAAAGTTTCACGTTTAGTGTACTGTAGGTTTTGAAATATCAGCTCTGGAGGCTCGGTGGGTACAAAGTCATTGTGCTATGCATCTAAACGAGGGGGCCTCGTGAAGCTGCTCAGCTCCCTTGTAAGGGGGGTGGGGTCTTGGTGACCAAATTAGAGGGATGAAGGGAGACTCATGGAGAAGAGCCACTTCCTCCAAGGCAGGGGGTCCACCCACAAATGTTCGAGAAGCACCTACTGTGCTGGGGCAGGTGTGGCTGATGGCTCAGTACCCCAACTCCACTTCTTGTTCAGCAGGAAGGCAGCTCCCACCTCTTCCCGCCCACAGGGCCACAGTGCCTGAACCCTTGCTGGGGATCAGTGATCACTTAATGGAGAACCTCCCAGCCATGGAATCATAGAAGTCACCTCCCAATTGTTCGCTAATGATCTACAGAGGACATAAAACATACAGCATACGGCCTAGTGGGTGGTGGTGGAGGTGGGGAAAATGGACATTCAAAATAAACACAGAAATAAATGCATGATTGTGTACTGTGATAAGGGAAAAGGTAGAATGAAGAGGAATCAGGTGGATCTTCTTGAGATTGGGGGTGATTTGGTGAAGGCTTCTCTGATGGCCCCGGAGATGGAGAATTGGCCAGAGTTAGCCAGGAAGAGGACAGAGGGGCAGAGGGACATTCATGCAGAGAGAATGACCTTGGAGAAGGTTCTGGGGTGGGACAGAGCTGGGAGTGTTGGAGAAAGGAAGGAGGTGAGGGAGCTGGAGCAGGAGAGTGCTCCAGAGGAGCAGGGAGGGGAAAGGCAGGTGTGTGTGGGGGGGGCAGGGGTCAGGTCAAGCAGGGCTCAGCGGGCCATGGGAAGTTATTCCGATTAGGATGCGTAAGCCAGGTGGAAGAGTTTTGAGCCAGAAATTTCTATGATCTGATTTGAAAACTTGAAAAATCATGGTGGCTTTTGTGAGCTCAGACAACCTACTAAGTAGAAGTGGGGGGGGGGGTGAGGCTAGGAGGCTCTGGCAATGGCCCAGGTGAACAGGGATGGCAGCTTGGACAAAGATGAGTGAAAGGGGTGGAGAAACGGCAATTCCAATCCTTCCGGGGTAAGTTATTTCATCTGTACATGTCATTTAAGTCACGTTGAGTTGGGGACATCATGCACCATTTTAATTCACTTATTTGAATCTCTTCTACAGAATCTGTCCTCCCTTCCCCTGTGGTAGCTGCTTTATCAGCGACCACTCAGCCACTGAGGGCCTAAGGTTCCTTCTGGACTCAAGAACTCTTTGCAGATAGAATGGACACTAGATCTTACATCTTGCTTTCAAATTTCTATGCATGTGACTATTATGAATCGACTTAAAAGCATTTTATCACAGCACCTGTCATTCCTTATAGTCTCCATTTTCTTAATTCATAGACTTTTCCGCCCAGTGTTTCAAATGTGTCCTCAAATCGCCCTCAGGACACCATACCCTTAGCAGTGGGCAGGCCAACATTAGCGCAACCAGCCAAGACTGCCTGCCCTCTCCAGCTCTATGTGGGGCTGAGACACTAGGGCAGGTAATTCCAGGTAACACTGGGTCTCACTTACCGCCTGTGAGGCTGAGTCTCTGTTGGGTGTTCAGTGCTGTTTCCCATCCCTGGCACTGTCTGACTTTCAGTGTTGATAAATACTTTTAAAACAGAACCTCCCTGGAGGCACAGGGGTTAAGTTTCAGCACTATCAAGCTACTGCCGGCCACTGCAGCCTGAGTTCGATCCCTAGCCAGGGAGCTAACCCACATGGCGCAGCAGACCTCTCCTGTCTTGCTCACTGCTTCCCTCAGCAGTGTATTTCAGTAGATCCACCTGTTCTGCTCCCTACTATGTATCTGGCAAATCCTTTCAACACTTGCCCCACTCCCACACCTCTGGCCTGGAACCCAGTTCTCGTATGCATATAGAAATATAAATCTTAAAAAAAATTTAAAATATTTTAAAAGTTTTTTTTTTTAATAAATGAAGAGACAAATGTCTTCCTTTCATTAATTGAGGAAATTCCTGAGTTATTTAAAATCATAATCATGAGAAACATCTGAAGAAAACAACGCCAAACCACTCATCCTCCTCCCTGGTAGTTTCGGGCCACCTGACCTCACAGGCAGCTCCTTTTAGTTAAATGAGCTAATGGTACTGGTTTGTCACATGCCTGGTGGTGCCTTCCATGGGTTCCCTAATTGAACCTGCACCTCAGGTCTTGGGGTACATGATAGTTTTCCTACTTACAGTCCAGGAACCTGAGGCTCAGTGAGGAGGTGAGTCAGAGCTCAAACCAGGCCCGCGATCACGCTGAGACGCCATTTTTCAGCATCAGGAAAGAAGAAAAATAAAACTACTCAAAACCAACCTTGAACATGATCCTTCCAAGTTTTGTCATTAAAAAAGACAGTGTCTAGATTCACAGCAGAAAAACTACAGCAGAGCACTGAACTGAAGATTTATAACTCCCGTTCAATTAGAAAGGGGATGGAAGTAAGATGAATAATTCAAGTGCAAAAGATGGGAACAGCAGACTTTGGAATTAGGCATTTTATTTAACTCATCAAATAATACAAGTTAGTTCAGGAAACAACAATCAAAATGTATTACTTGTACTAACGATATGTAGAACCACATTTCCAAGAAATCTAATGAAAATAAATGCTGGAAATAAATTACTCTGTGGAATACAACAAATAAATAGAATTTTTCCTCCCAAGAAATAATCCTGTGACTCTTAGTTTTGGGGAAAGAGGCCTAAGATGGGAGCTTGAACTAAGGTCTGAATGAGACGGAAGACACAGCAGTACATCAGTGAAAATTAGAAGACATTCTAACTCCACCTTCCCCCCTGCAGCCCCTGCTTTAGGAGTGATTTCTCCCCATTCCTGAGACAGGTCCCGGCACCGCTCCTGACACCCACAGTCTTAGTGATCCAGATAATGTAATCGCACCGCCATTAGGAACCATGAAATTGCAATTCCTCGGGGAAGGCGCGCTA